CACAACCCAATGTCAGAGACAATAGCTTCCTGTGTAGAAAAACATATACTTCAGAAAGACTCAGGAGCTGGACACCAGAGACTCACAAATATAATCCTAGCTACTTGGGAGGCTGAGACAGGGAGCATCAAGGTTCAAGTCTAGCCTGGGAGAGACCCCACCTCCAAAATAACCAGATTTTCAAAAATGGAGAACAGGACAATGAACAGGTCCTGTCTGGGTGGGTTGGTACTAGTAGGAGATGGAAGGGTGGGAAAAGGACATAGGAGGATGATATGGTGCAAATACTGTGTATGTAAGGGGAAAAATGAGAAGATTGAAAGTATTTCAGTAATGGGGGGATAAAGAAAAATGATGTAGAGAGTCAATTCAAATATGATATATTTGATACACTGTTTAAGAAATTTTTTAAATGCCATAATGGACCTCCAGCTCAATAAAAAAATAAATAGGGAAAAATAAAGAATAAATAGGGAAAAGTGGACTGGAGGTGAAGCTGAAGTTGTAGAGCTTCTTCCTTGCAAGTGCAAAGTCCTAAATTCAAACTCCAGTGAAACCAAAAAGAAAAGAAAGAGAAAGAGAGGAAGGAAGGAAGGAAGGAAGGAAGGAAGGAAGGAAGGAAGGAAGGAAGGAAGGAAGGAAGGAAGGAAGGAAAGAAAGAAAGAAGGAAGGAAGGGTCTAGGAATCCAGCTTACTGGTAATGCATTTGTCTAGCATGCATAATGTACTGTGTTCAAACCATAGAATAGAAAAAAATCACAAAAATGAGGGTTGTGTAATCTGACATGTCACATGTAAAACTTCATTCAAGTGACACAAAAATCACACACCGTATGGAGAAGGATAAAATCTAGAAGCAGCACAGGCTCATAGAGCAGTCTTGTGGAGAGACCTTGGGGGAAATACCAAGTCTCTTGTGTCCATGTCTTCATCCACAGAGGAGGGTTCATGGCATTCCCTGGTGCAGGCCACATCCATATGTTTCCAAGAGCATACAGGGCGTCCACTCACCCAGTGTGACTGACCACTGTAGTTCTCACCTCTTGCCCACAGGCATAGCCCTGTGACCTTGTGGGGGTCATGGCCTCTTCTTCCAGTACTCTATTCTTTCTCATAGTGCAGCTAAGATTCCATCAAGGTCCAATTGAGAGTAAGGGAGCCTCCCCTATGTGAAGCCTCAGCCCTCCCCAGGACCAGAGAAAGAAGTCCTCTTGTAGATCACATACTTCATCCAATGAGTGTGGACAGTTCCATGGCAGGGCCTTGGGTGTACACAGCACTGCACAATCAGTTATTCCCATGGTGTGGTCCAGGGCTTGCATGGCACTGCATAATCTAATGGAACACAGAACTGCACTGGATATTTGAGGGCCCAAGTTCAACTATACCTGTTGTCTGTGCTCTGCTTTCATTCCAAGGAGCTGAGCACCCCTGTCCAGTCACTAGACAAGGCAATGATCAGTGATACCCATCATCCCTAGAAATTATATTATAAACCCTCATGGAGCTTCTTAAACCGTTCTGGTATGAGGGCAGAACTGGAGGGACCACAGTCTTGCAGAAGAGGAAGACTGAGGCCTGGAGGCAGGGTAAGAATTAGAGGTGACAACATCCACAGAAGCACGAGTCCAGCAAGGGGTTGAGGGAAGACTCCAGGCCAAGTACATGACAGGAAATAAGAGCCCTTTGGAAAGCCTTGCTGGGTGTCTTCACTCCAGCTCAACAGGCCTGGGGCAAGGCTTGTCCTTTTACACCCTTCGTGTCCTGGACCTTAGTAAGGCAGCATTCAGGTGAAGTAGTTTAGAGTTTAAAACACTGATGGAATGTGAAGTCCTAACCAGCCAAGGCAGCAGTGAAGGCAGGAAGCTCCAATTTTAGTGTATATGAAAATGATCATTCAGCTGTGGGGGGGGAGTGGAGAGCTTCAGTAAGTGGATATCACAACCAACAATTTGAAGATTGATGAGACATAGTAACCATGGGAGTGCCTGGTGAAGTCAGACACTGATGAAATTTAACAACACATGAACCCATATCCTAGCAATCACAAGGCTAAGTGTTCAAACCCCAGTGCCACAAAAATAAATAAATAACAACAGTAAAGCAAAATCACATTTCTTGAAAACAAATCAAATTCATAAAGCCAGAGGCTGGTGACTCATGCTTGTTGACTCAGGAGGCAGAAATCAGGAGGATAATGATTCAAAGCCAACTCTGGGAAAATAGTTCTTGAGACCCTATCATGAAAACTACGCAGCACCACACAGGACTGGTGGAATGGGTCAAGTGTTAGACCACCTGCTCAGAAAGTGTGAGGACCTGAGTTCAAACTTCAGTACTGCCAAAAACAAAAATGAAGTGAATTCATAAATCTCTAGACTCACCAAGGGAAATATACAAATTATCAACATCAGATATAACTGAAAGAACATCACTGCAGAAGTAATAACTGTTAAAAGAATCATAAGGGGGTGCAAGTCATTTTTGTCCAAAATTCAAAAGCAGATAAAATGAACATTTCTTCAAACACACAACCTACTAAAACTCACTGAAGAACAACTGGATTGTATGAACAACCTGTATCTGTTAAACAAACTACAGTCAAGGACATTTTGACAAAGAAAGCTGAAGGCACACATACATTTACCAATAATTATACCAATTACCTAATGAAGAAATATCAGTTGTACGTAAAATATTTGAGAACATAGAAATGACAAGAGCATTTTTCAACACTTTTACTCAGGATCATCAGAATTCATTTGGACAAAGTTACCAGATGCCCCAAACAGACAAAGAACTACAAGAGAAGGAAGAGATAAACATGGCTCACAGCACAGATCAAGGGGTATACAAAAAAATATTAGAAAGTTGACCCCAGAAATATATCAATCAATCAGATATAAACAGGGTTAATCTGGGAATTCAACACTGCTTCAACATTGAAAAGGACATTAGTGTGTATGTATTTCCATATTAAAAGGCATTAGAAGGGGCTGGCAGAGTGGCTCCACCAGTAGAATACCTGCCTAGCAAGCAGGAGACCCTGAGTTCAAACCCTGTGCTGCAAAAATTTAAAAAAAGGAAAAGAAAAGAGACTTCAGAAGTCATAATAGATGTAGAACTAAGTTTAACCTGATGCAAATTCCAAGCAGGGTGAAAATGTACCACGAATCAGGAAAACAAAAGAATTTCCTTGTCAGATGTGTTTTTAAATTTAATTGGGGGAAGGACTCTTGATCACAGTATCTAGAAAGTATTGTGTTCTCGGAACACATTCAATGCACTCAATTTGGGTTGCATATAAGGACTATAGAGAAGAGGATTTTGGTAGAGTGCACAAATCACACACACATCCACACCTAGTTTCCTACCCACCAAACCGTGCAGCTCCAAGTCACATGACAACTGCACAGCAAAGCTTTTGAGCACAGGCACATGCCAGAGCACCCACAGGATACAAATCCACATCCAAGCTCTGGAAACAGAATTTCATCCTGAAAGTGGCTGAGTTGATATGGGAGAGTTGAGAAGTCACTATGAACCTGGGGTACACAGGAGCCAGTGATGCCCCAACAATGAAACATCCTGGGCTTGGGACAAGTACTGCAGCCAGTCACACAAGAGAGGGAACTACATGGATTCCCATTCCTCTTGTCCTCATTCCAGTGACTGAAGCTGGAAACATCCTGTCCACAGGTACAAATTTACCCAAGTACCCCAGTGTAGAGAATGGGCAGGACAACCCTTGTAACATTATAATGGTGATTAGGAGGTTCTTGGAATTTGCCTAACTCAGAAAATGCATATGGGCTTATTTAGATAAGCATTGATACCCAAATTCCAGCAATCTACTCCTTTGACACACACCATGGCCACTCTGAAGAGTAAAGACCACATCAAGACTAAGTGCCAAATGTCTGTCTTAGTACACTGAGACGGAAGGGAGAGCCAGGAAGCTCTCAGAATAGTCCTGGGCTACCCCTCAGAAAACCAGTTGTGTTCAGAGTAACAGCAGGAGGAGTTGATAGGTAGAGCAGAACAAGAAAGGCACTGGACCAGGAACTCCAGAAGCTCCACTCACTCCCATACCAACTTGCCCTATCTTTTTTCACCTCTTGCTTTTGCTTCAAACAGAAATTTCTGAGCAAGCTGAGCATTGAGCCTCATGCCTATGAACCCAGGTACTCAGGAGCTGAAGATTGCTGGGATTACAATTTGAGAGCAGGATGGGCAAGAAAAATAAGTTGAACATCTATCTGAAAAATCACTAAAGTTAAAAGGGCTGAGGGCATAGCTTGAGTTACATAGCATCTGCCTCACAAATGAGTACAAACTCCAGTCTGCCAAAAAGGAAGGGAAGGAAAGAAGGAAGGAAGGAGACAGGAAGAAAGGACAGATGGGAAGGCAAGGAAAGAAAAGGAAAGGAAAGGAAGAAGAAAGAAAGGAATCCTAGGACTACTTCCAAAGGCCTAAAAGAGCACATGTTGGCTGAAGTGACTGCATACAGAGAATTTTGGAAGCTGGAATTGAAGGGTGGTTTGGACCAAGGCATGAATTGTCACATTTGGAAGGCTAAAGAGTGATGAAAGTCAAGCTCTTGGTAGGAGTGTGGGTGTCTCATTGGGCAGCAAACCATGATTTGTGCTGGGTTGTTTATCGTTCTCTTTGTCTTTCTCTCTCCCCGCAACCCCACCTGCTTTCTTCCTCCCTCCCTCCTTCCCTTTCTTCCTTCCTTCATTCCTTCCTTCCTTCCTTTCTTCCCTGCAAAGACAGTAAGGTTACTACATACTGTCATATGACAATAAAAGCACATTGTACACCATGGCACAGCAATGCCACCTTGGTCAGATACTGACTTGTAATGCATGGTAGATAAAAGACAGACATGAGCCTTTTAGGAAGGCTGCTCTAGGAAGAGGAACCATAGCAGGACTCCAGGAAGGGCAATTCAGAAATGAATGAAGAAAGGTTCCTAGGCCATCAAGTTCCCCTTTACCTCAGAGGCCACATGTATTGCACATGGCAGCAAAGACTGAAGATTCCATCTTGATGTTGCTGATGCCCGATGTGTGGGCAGCTTTCAGATAGGCCTGCTTGTCCTTCTCTGTGTAGAAGCAGAGCACACCATCCAAATGACCTTGCCCTGCAGCAGACACATGACAACCACCTGCATGCTGTCAGCTCCTAGTGCATTTCTGAACCATAATGACCCTAGGACAAGAGACAGGGGAGGCCCACAGAAGCCCTGCCTGCTCTCAAAAGTGCACACATGCTCATTACAACCTCTATGGAAATGTGAAATTGGGTCAACATCCCCCCCCACCCCATGAGGCCACAGCACCTCAGACAGCAGCCCACCAGTAGCAGGTGAGCTAGGGACAGGCTATGGCTTCCCCTGAGCAGAGCTGCCCTGCCATTATCTCACCTTCATAGAAGTCCAGGGTACACATGGTGTGTCCCACAACAGTGGTGAATTCACTCAGGTCTGCAGAGCACTGCAGCAACTCTGGCACCAGCTGCTCATCCAGGTCTGTACTCTGAACCACCCACTTCTCCAGGACAAGCTGCTGAAACTCCACCTTGAGGCAGGCGCCCACTGCCTGCCAGTTAATGACCACTGAGCCAGACTCCAAACCTGAAAAAGAGACATCACAGCTGAGGAGAGAGGATGGGACAATATACAGCAGAGCATAGGTAGAAAGTAATGCAATTCATCACCATACCCAAGTACCAAAGCATCCAGCCCTGTGATAAAGTCAGTCATCCTGTTTCACATGAGAAGCTCACCTGACTTTGAATTCACACGTAACATTGTGGACAAACAGGTGAAAGTGCAAAGAACACTGATTCTGCCAGAAGCCTCCACATCCTGTATCAAAGGATACAGTCTTCCATCTTTTCCTGTGATTCCCCATTGATGGCACTCCATCATATAGGGCATCATGATTGTGCTGGAATTGTAACCATGCACTCAAATTTTGTATCAGTCTCTCAGAAGGTTTGGCATTTAAACCAAGTCCTGAGAAATGATGGAATCACCCTACTCCACAGGCTGTCAGGTCTAGACATGAGGAATAATTGCATATATACCTGGTGGTCACCATCAACATCTGAGCCTAACTTGCCCCACAGTGGATGCAAGCTCCTCCCCATGAGCCCAATATCCTCCCTAAGAGAAAGACAATCCAGCATCCAGTTCCCAGTAGGAAGACTGGCATGCAGCTGTGACATCAGGCTGAAGAATAGATTCTTTAAAACAAATTAGACTAAGAGACTTTGCTTAGTGCTATGGTTTAATTAAGGTAGGTTCCCATCAATACCCATGTTGAAATGTAAGAGGTAAGAGCAGCTGGGGCCTATAGGAGGTCATTAGGGCTCTGTCCTAGTGAGTGGATACACACATTCATTGACATAAATGAGTTAATGAGAAAATTCAGGAGTGGCCATGTTATAAAGTCAGTTGGGCTAGGCTGAGACTCTGTCTTTCACCATCATGATGTCTTCTGCCATCCTGGGACTCTGAAAGATGGTTTCACCAAATGATTCCCTTCAATTAAGGATTATAACCATGAGGCCAATAAATTTCTTTACTTTATAATTTACCCTGTCTCTGGTATGTGATTATCCACACACACACAATCTAAAAAATTTCAGCAGTTTGCTTTCTCATTAAATCCTGTTCTTTCTTTACCCTCTTTGTTCAAAACACCCACAGACACACACATGCTGAGAACTGGGAACTTTAGAGCTCATTTAAGGACATTTTTCTTGTCTATGTATCCCACCTGTCCTCCCTGCTTGATTTGTTTCTGGATATCTCATGAGCTGCTTAAAATCTTTGCAGAAAGAAAGAGTGGTGGCAGAGAGTAAAGGAGAGGAGAGGCTGAGGAGAAGGAGAAACGGAAAAGAATAAACAGGAAATCAAATAAATACAAAGGCACAGTGTGCATACCAGATGAATGCACTTGTGCCAGCACAAGACCTGGCAACTGTCTGCTACTCATCTCTGGGGTTCCAACTGGGAGGATGCTGAGAACAAAATGTAACTAAACAAGTTTCTTTTCCCATCTCCTGTTAAGAAGCTCTCCTTGAAAAAAGTCAAAGGACCACACATTTTGTACCCAATCCCATGCCATGCTGGAGCTGATATAGCAGCTCTGGCCCCTCATCCACTCACAGGACAAAAGCCACCTCCCCAGCCCTTACCTATCCCACTAGTGCTGATGTGGACGATGGTGACTTTGGAGCATCTAGCATGGTACAGCAGCTTGATGAGTTCATGTAACATGATGGCGATGGATGGAATGCCCATACCATGCTGGAATCAAGAGAGATATGCCAACAGCTGAGCCCACAGATGTACCTTTACCAACACAGAAGTCACTTCTCAGGTGGACAAGGTGGCACACACCTGTAATCCCGGCACTTGAGAGTCAGAAGCAGGATTATGAATTCAAGGCCAGCCTGGTTATAAAATGTGTCACACACACACACACACACACACACACACACACGAAACCAGACCAAACCAGAAGCTCCTTATCAGAGGATTGGGTCTGTGCAGCTTTATGTACCCACCATGAGCAAGAAGGGTCAGGACATTATCATGGGATATATTGAGAGACAAGAAGAGAATGAGAAAGAGAGGGAGGTTTCATTCACATAACTTTTCCTACAGTGCATTTGTGTAATTATTGTATCTTATTATTACTTTTGTTGTTCATCTCTTGCTGTGCCTAGTTTATACATTAAAATGAATCAAGGACACAGGCTGCAGATGGCTCATGCCTGTAATCCTAGATACCCATGAGCCAAGAGATAAGGAGAATCACAATTAGAAACCACCTTGTGCAAATAGTTCATGAGACCCTATCTTGAAAAAACCCATCATGAAAAAAGACTGGTGGAGTGGCTCAAGGTGTATATTCTGAGTTCAAACACTAGTACTGAAAAAAAAATGTATCAAGGGCAAGAATGAATATAGAAGTGTTGAAAACACCATAAAAATGGGACTAAGGAAGAAAGAGGGATGAAGAAGTTCATTTATCATACATATATACATGGAAATGTTACAAGGAAACTCCCTGTAGCTATCTTAAATGAACAAAAGTATCATTTTTTTTTCTTTTACAAAATCATAGAAAAGGAGGAAGGAACAGGTCCTGTCTGGGGGTTTTGGTACTAGAGGGAGGGGGAGGAGGTGGGGAAAAAGTATAGGAATGTAAATATGGTGCAAATACTGTGTACACATATATGTAAATGGACAAATGAGACCTGTTGAAAGTATTCCAGGAATGGGGTGAGGGAGGATAATGGAGAATGGTGGAAGGGGTGAATTCAAGTACAATATCTTTGAAATTCTGTAAGAACTTTCATAAATTCCACATGTACCACCACCAAGCACAACAATAAAAAAAGGAAAAAAGAAAACATTTAACACATACATAAAAAAAGTATCAAGTGTATGCACCATTGGGAAGGAGACAGTACAGATGGGGTTTTCACTTTCTTGGGTTAGATATCCACTGGGGGTCTTGGGGCATAACTTCCCCATGGTTGAGGTGACTGCTGTATTGTGGTTTATGTTTTATGTCATGCACTTTAACTAACAAGCTTATCATGATGGTAACAGATGAGATTAAATATAGATTTAAAGATGTTCATCAATCTAGAAACTTAGTGTACACAGTCCTATGTGTGACCTCATGTGATCTGCAAAACCTTGAAACATATGGCAGTAGAGGAACCAGAAGCTCAGCGGGAAGGTAGCAGCCATTATTGCTAGGAAACAAATATCTCCTTCTGGCATTTGAATCCCCAAACAGATGCTGACTTTTGTCTTGCTGGCTCATTTTCATGTCTTCATTTTTCTCCCTAACCTCTGTTTCAGAAAATCTATATACCTGGCTGGACTCTTAACAACCCATAACCAAATGACTTGCTAACTCTCTACTTCTGCCATTTCCTCCTCTGCGTATACCCACTCCCACTCTCAAAGACCCTCCCAGAGTTATTTCTTCTATAACGCCCCTATGTGACATGCCCTGGGCACATTACACTATCTGTAGCAACCCCTGATTGGAAACAGACCCCTCTAAGAATTTGTCACAGTGTCTCCTACACAAGAATGAATGTAAAATGTTTAAGCCTTTTGAAATCACTGTAAAATGGAGACCAGGCAAATAAAAGAAAAATAGAGTGGATGAACCACTTCAGGATATAATACAAGTACAGATGGAAATGTCACAAGAAAAATACTTGTGTAGCTATCTTAAACAAACAAAAAATGTCATTTTTTTCATTAACAAAATAAAAGCAGAGAAGATATCCTGCCTAGGGGGAGTTTGGTACAATTAAGAGGGAATAGGAGGAGGGAATTGTGAAGGAGAGTGAATATGGTGCAAATACCATGTACACATGTGTGAATTTGGAAAAATAAGATGTGTTGAAATTATTTCAGGAATGGGAGAAGGTAAAGGAGAATGATAGAGGGGGTGAATTCAACTATGATGTATTTGATATATTGTAAGAATGTCAGTACATGCCACAAATATCCCCAGCACAACAATAAAAAAAGAAATTTCAAATAGACAGTATTGTTGAAAATAAGAAAAAAGAATTTGTCACAGTGTCTTAGACATAGGAAATACTTCCATTGACTATAACTAAATGATGTCATGGCTCCCAGCTACATGCTAGATGATGGAGACTGTGAGCTGTGTCAGCTGACCAGAGAGGTGGGGTGGAGGCCCCTATCAACAGGAGGGTAGCCATTGCTACCATTGTAGCTCATCATCTGTATTGCTAGTGACAAAGGGAATCAAAACTAGAAAAAATGGGCTGGCAGCATGGCTCAAGTGGTAGAACCCCAGCCTAGCAAGCAGGAGCGCTTGAGTTCAAACCCCAGTACTGCCAAAAAAAGTTGGAAACTTCTTTGGTAGAATATGAAGAGATTTCTGGGCTCACTGTAACAGCCAAGTCAAGATTAGTGCTGAAGTATGTTACTGTACTGTTTCAGAGTGTAGTGGTCCTATAACTACTATACCTTTATACAGACAGGAAAGACCCTCCAGTGTCTCCTTCAATAAAATTCAGCTCCATAATTGCCTGACTGTCCCACATATACCCTGTGTGGACAGGTGTATGGACTAAGATTTGCATTTGTGAATTGAGGAATCCCAGGAGACTGAAACTGAGGACAAGAACTTGTGTCCTATTCACCCCAGCTCTACCTGCTGAGGGCTCACCTTGCTCCTGACCATTTACAGCAAGCAGGTGTTGTAGTACCAGGTGTCTATGTGTGCAAAGGGGCAGGTGCAGGGCTGGAAGAGCCTAGAGACCAAGGAAGAAGCAAAAACTCGCACTCATGGACAGAACTGGTCCAACTTTATACATGGCATGTGGGCAGTCATACACAGATGTTGGGGTACTCATCCCTGGATGTCCAAATGCCAGCTCGACAGCCACATACTTGATGAAGGAGTTCATCCGAGAGTGGCTCCCAAGAACAGAGACAAACTGCAGCCAGAGAGAAGAGACGCCATGAGCACTGTTTACAGCAGAGATCTTCAAAGTCAGGTCATTAACCAGCAACATCTTTGTTATACAGAAGGTGTTAGAAATGTAAATTCTCTTGCCCTGAACAGATTGACTGTATGGGGAAGGGCACAGCCCTCTGTTTAATGAACTGTCTGTTGATATTCAGTGACACTGTACTTTGATTCAGTATGGGCCCCACAGAGAACAATGCACCCAGCATGACAAATCCAGGGACCCAGGCTCTTGCTATCTTTGAGAAGGCAATTCCAGGAACCCTAGCCACCACACCATGGGAAGGTAGTAAAGGGTTCTGAAGAGGGCATGTGTTTGAACTGAGATAGTGTGAGTTTGTCATTGTCCCTACACCTCCTCATGTGACCAGGATCCAACGGCCATCTATGAAATGGACGAGTCAGAAAAAACAGCTCTTAGAGACAATGAACTAAACAGAATAGCAATACTTGTCTATATTTACAAGCAGATGCGAACACCCTCCCTCACTCAGAATCCCTGCTCCTATTGGATGTGGTTTATTTATATCTCAGTTCTCTCAATGAAGCATTACACATGTTAGTGGTTTTATTTTATGAATTCAATCATTTATTTTTGAGATGGGGTCTCACTATGTTGCTGGCACTGGCACCAGTGATCCTCCTGCCACAGCCTCCCAAGTAACTGGGACGACATTTCCAAACCACCTGCCTGGCTCAGGATGTTTATTTTGTGCTCTGTTTCAATTCTACACTACAGTTGGAACAGATTAGTGGGGGGCTGATAGTTTCCTATTTTACTTGCTCATTCAAATACTTGAACAGTAACAATTTGCAAAAATTCAATAATCCCAGGAACCTGGCACCTCTGAACCATCTATGAGTAGGTTTCACTGTATCATATAGAAGAATGCTAGTATAAGACAAATTCCTAGAATTAGAGCCTGGTTTTACCTTCACATCACCAAACATAGCAGGGAATTCAAGTGTGCTTGTGCTCAGGCTAAAGTCGTAGAGAACATCTTCCTTCATTGTCACTATGTTTGGATTTGAAAGCTGAACAAGGCAGTCACTGCAAAAACAACAAAGCAAATCTACAGACCATGGTTGTTGATGCCCGCACTATAACCATATGAGGGACATGTGTGAAACAAGGAGCCTCTGGGAATAAGACAACCTTATATTGCCAAGGTCCCTCCTTCCACCTCCTATTTAACTCCTCTTTCTTCCTAAAGTCCCCACCCTTTGAATGTACTCAGCAAAAATTCAACAGAGTCCAAAAAAGTACAAGGATCAGTTGTTCAATCATGCCATATGGTTGCTATAGCTAGGTGCTGTCCAAATCAAATTAATTTAAAACATAAACTTGAAGCTGGGCACTGATTGGTCATGACTATAATCCTAACTACTCAGGAGGCAGCCAGCCCAGACAAATAGTTCACAAGATTCTATCTTGAAAAAAAAATCACTAAAACAGAGCTGATAGAGTGTCTCAAGGTGTAGGCCCTATGTCAAACCCCAGTACCAAAAAAAAAAACAACATAAACTTGACTGTTAAAAGTAACTAAATATGGCTCATTGGATATGTTTCTGTGAAACTTGATTGCTAGACTGACAACACGAAATTTTACATTTGTGCCTTAAGCTTACAAATACCAAATTGTAGATTCTTCTGAAATTATGCTTATGTAAATAACTAAATGAAGTTTAGCTTCTGATGTGATATGAATGCCTCTCTTTGGAGGCTTCAATTGGCAAATTTTATAATAAGTAATTCAAATCTCTGCTGTCTATGCAAAAAAAAAAGAAATTAATGTGTGTGAGAACAGAAAAAGAGAAAAAAATCACCTCTCCTCTTAATACCCAGAAATAACTTTTCCATTCTGCAGGTCTGTATTTTCTTTTTCTTGTCTTCTGGCACTACCTACCACTTTTCAGTACTATGTCTTCAGCAGTGGCAAGAGAATACATCTCTTCATTTTGCTTTATTTTCAGATCCAATACTGGAGGATTTATGTGTGTCTCACATTTCATGCCCATTGGGAAGCACACTTGTTCTACAACAGGAGTTGGCAATCTTATTTTAGAAAAGTACAGAAGGTAAGTGTGACTTCGTAGCATATTGCATTTGTCACAATAACTCAGTCTGCTATTCTCTCATAAAAGCAAGATAAACTACATGAAGGATGAGGACATGTGATTGCAATGAAATTCTGTCTACAATAAGAGCTACCCAAGGTCTAGGCAATTCCATTTCCAGACCCCAAACTTCCTGAGACTCAAATACTAACATGGTTCCCTCGACAATGCATGTATTCTGAATCCCACAGATAGGTGTGCTTCCCCAGCAAGGGAGGGCTGGGACTGGTTGAGTATCTGTGAGTGATACAGAAACAGAGGATGACAGGTAAACTCTCAGCATTGACCACATCTGACACATCAAAGACACATAGGCACTGGACTCATCAGATCCCATGAACAGGTGTTATCAATCTTGATCAGAGGGAGCAAACAAGCTGCCTGAGTCACAGGACACATCTATCTCCCTCGTATTCACTGCTTCTTGAAAAGAGTTGTGGCTGTCAGATTCAGAACTCATTTTAATTGGGGGAGGATTTTTTTTAGAGACTAAATTAACAATTGTGTGTGCTTAGTACTATATGGGGAGCAATGATGGGAGTCTCCATTTAGGATGAGACAGGCAGTTTAAGAGCAGACATCTAAAGAGTCATGAGAAACAATAGCCTTCCGAGAGAAATAAAAAGCCCCTTACCAAAGGGTATACAATGCAGGTATACAATATGGGTAGCAAGCCCCAAAGTCAGGATGAACTCATGAGATCCTGCTGGAATGTCCAGTTCGATAAGGAAAGGGATGGATAAGGTTGTGAGATTTAATGAAAAGTTTACTAGGCGCCAACAATCACAAATATAGAACACTTGGACATGACCCAGGGAGTGCCCTATATCATCTCCTACACTTCAGCCATTGTGTGACTAAGCTCTTCTACTAAGTCCATGGCTAAGGGTGCTTAGGTATCCTTTCAATAAACTTTATGTTTGCTTTGCTTTTAACTCCTAGCCTAGTGTCTTCACTCATCAACTATACCAAGACACGAATCTAGGGAACAACACTCCTGTATCAGTACTGTCCTAAGACTTTCCCACAATGACTTTTTGATCTGTACAAGAGTATGAAATTCTGACCATAAAAACACAGCCTACAGCCTGTGGAGCTCCTCTAATGACCATGATGTTTAATGTAATCATGGCCCTGTTCGCCCTCAGTGGGCTATGAACACAGAACACAATGAGAAGATCCTATGTGCATTCTTCAAAGTAACAAAACAGGATGTAATTAACTCTCCTGGCCATGTATTTCCAAATAGGAAGTCTTTCATCATTCCATGATTCCACCAAGAGCAGGAGAAGGAAGTAGTGTGAGACCATGAGACTACAATGATTTTCTAATATGTGTCTCTGACATATACCATAATGAACTCAAAAGGATTTAAAAATAGCAAGTCAGAGACAAAAGTACTTCTCCAGTCTACAAAACTCAGGAGAATTAATCTTGTTTTATTCTGGTACTTTATTCACTTAACAAATATTTATTGGGGACCTACTGCTGAGGACATAAAAGTGGACAGGAGCCACTGCAGGAACCCCCAGGAGAAGTGATAGACAGCTGGGGGGAAGGGGAGAGGAAAAAGAAATCAGTGGATTTGAAGGCTATTCAAGGGTCTGCGAGTAAGCCTCAGTGGTAGACCATATGGAAGGAAAGAGACAGAGGGAGAGAGAAAGAGGAGGGGAGAGAAGAAAAGAAGGAAGGAAGGAAACAAAGAAAGAAATAGTGAGAGAGAAACAAAGAAAGAGTGAGAGGGAAACAAAGAAAGGAAGAAAAAGAGGCTGGGGGAAGGGAAGGGAAGACAGAAAAAGAACAGAGAAATAGAGAGAGGGAAACAAAGAAAAAGAGAATGAGGGACAGAAAGAAAGAAAGGGGAGAACAGAGGAAAGGAAAGAAAAGAAAGGAGCAAGTAGCATACTGATGAAGACAACCACTTTTTGCTTTTCTAGCAATACCAAGACCTAAAAGGCAGGTCATGAGAAGTTCTCAGTAGATTTATGAAAATCTTCCAAGAAAGGACAAAGGATTTAAGATTCAGAAACAAGTCAGAGTTAGATGAGCAGGGGATTTTGTTTTAGAAAAGTGGCCACACACTTCTTTGTCTTCTGAGACCATTTCCTGAAGTTTAAGGGTAAAGGCCACAGCACCCAAAGATGAAGGTCCTTGAGATCTGAACCATAAGACTTTCAAGCCCTTAATCCCTCAGTCTCTGCCATGAGAATCACATATGTTGACTCATGTAAACTTCTTAGAAAAATTAATGGCTCAAAGAATACAATATAAACCCAATAAACCCAATCCAGTCCAACTCAACTCAACCCAACCCAACACAACACAACACAATCCATTACACCCAATCCAACCCAAACAGCCCATGATTAAGCCAAGTCTTACTTGGGATAATTTTTAAGTTCCTTTGCTCTGGCTTCTGCTGTCACCATGTTCTCAGTGTGGCAGGAACCTGAGAGAAAAGCATCACACAGAGTACAGTGAATTGACCCAAGACAGACCAGGGTAATGTGTGGCCCCTTAATGTGGGAAGTCAGTGTAGAGTGCACAAGGTGAGATTCTCCACACACTTACATCCTGGAGATAATGAAAATGTATAAAGTGTGTGTATGTGTGTGTTTAGGAGAGGAGGTGACAAACACATCCCAAAAGTCCACAGGGTTGGAGCTCACATTTCTGTAGAAAACATATCCCCTATTCCTGGATTCTAGGCCAGCAGCAATCAGGATATCATGGTCCCTAGGACCCATGCATCTCAGCCTGGCCCTCAAACAGTTTCAGCTAGCCACTTGCAGGCTAGCAAGAGATGAGTTGGTAGACCTGGTCAAAGGTGGAGCAAAGGCACCAGCTTTCAGGATGCCACAGGAAGAAGAGGACGTGCAGCTGTTGTGGATCAGCCTGCTGCCCTGCCTCCCCTGAAAAACCAACACAGGAGCTTATTACACATAAGAGAAGCTTTTCTGTTGGGTCACAGGAGACATATACTCTCTAGAGACCTCTCTGTGTAGATAAGCGCAGCTTGGCAGAGCAATTGGAGGTGAGTGAAACTAATATGCCAATGAATCCCTGATAACCCTGCACCTGCCAGGCCCTCACCTCCTACCTTAAATATTCAGCAAAGCAAGAACTCTAGAGAGATAGAGGAAGGGAAACACCCTGAGGAGCCATACTTACATAGAGACAATCAGTGGAAGGATGCAGGCTGGAGCCTGTGACTCACACTGTAATACTAGCTATTCAGGAGTCAGAGATTTGGAGGGTCCCAGGTCAAGGCCAGCCCTAGATATATATATTCTTGAGACCCTATCTTGAAAACAAGCAACATGAAACAGAGCTGGTAGAGTGGCTTAACTGGTAGAATGCTTGTCTAGCAATCATGAAGCCCTAGTTTATACCCAATACCTCTGACCCCACAAAAATTATATGCAGGCTGCATCCATTTTCCAGAATCCTGGCCAATATTCTCACAACTGTGTTCTCAGCCTGTGTCTAAGCAGTCTCATTCACCAAGCTAATACTGCAAATACCTTTTTGTGGGGGTGGGGTGGTAGGAAGAATGTTACAGAATTTGTAACTGTTATTATAACAATTACAAATCATTTCATTTTCAGTAAACTTGGAAAAGCAGAGAAAATGACACTTCTTGGTTTCAAAGCAAACTTTCCCATGAAATTGCTGCTGTTTTTATCCATCTAGCTTTGGTTCTCTTTTGACATTTGTAAAGAGTTGTGTAGAAATTCCAACTCTTGGCATCCAGTGAAGAGGAGCTAAGAAATGGCAGAGTATTGTTTGGTAGTGCTGGGGATCGAGCACAGCGCCCCACACATGCTAGGAAGCACTCTAACCCTGAACTACAGTCCCAGCATGGGATTGAGTTAAAAATGAGGCATGACACCGCCTCCCCAGCCTTGTGACACCAGGGGTCAAACATGAAGCACTCACAGGCACAGCATTTATGAGCCAGAAGCAAGAGGCTGATTTCCCTAACGTGGGGTTCATGAGATCAGTGCATCCCTTTTCTGAATTTCAAGGAAGGATACTTGATTGTAAACATGTGTTCATGACTTCAGTGTTTCTATAGCACACCCTGGACAGATCTACACACAGCCCAACTTCTACAGAGGTCTCACTTCCAGGACCCATTGCCCACCAGAGCAGTGAGCTGAATGTGGTTGTCCCAATTCTGCCTGTGGCAGTCCATTCATTGGTCAGCTGAGTGGGGTGTATATTCTTATCAACCCACTGACATCCTTGTAAAGCTCTCACATCTCCACTGAGGCAGGTTTGGGGTCATGCAGGGAGTTACTGTCCCGAGTGTGACATTCTGTCCAGCAAGACAGATAAACAGGAAGCCAGTTCTCTGGTCCAGTCCTTCTGTGCACTCACTCCTTTCTGAGTTTGCTTCCTCTTCCTCCTAGCAGTCTTAGTACTTATAGGCTCCCCTCCTAAATTCCCCAAGACTACCTTTTCTCTACCTCAGCCCTATGCTCATGGAAGCTTTATTTCACCAAATTCTGGTGAACCAAGCGTGGACACATATGCAGGTTTTCTGGGATGGGGAAAGTGAAGGGTGGTCTTTGGGGTTTACCTGCAGTACACTGGCTTGATTATCACAGGTCCATTTCACTACCAAAAGATCTGAGTGCTACAAATCACCCACCAATCCTGAAGGTCAAAAACCAGATGAGGAGAGGGACAAAATCCTTCTTTCACCTTAGGCCACTGGAGTCTCACAGGATGTGGAACAACAGATGACTGTGGGCAGCCTGTGACTGATAGGCTCACAGAGGCCAACTGGTGAGTGGTGGGCACTGACCACCAGCAAAAAGACCTCAATGAAAATAGACATGAAGTAGTGACCGTTTAGGGACACAGGAAGAAATGCGTGGAGTGCAACTCAGCCTCACAGCCAGGCCTGATCTCTGTAAGCTGAGTATATGTGGTCAGAGATTTTGAAACACTTCCCCACTTTTGGAATTTTGATCTCGGTTCATCTCTTTCTTTATTGGTGAACTTAATTGTACATAGAAAAGGATTTCATTATGACATTTCCATGCATGCATTCAAAGTACATTGATCATAGTCACCCCTCTTTTCTCTCTCATCTTCCATTCCTTGCCTTTTCTCTTCTCCTTCTGTTTCTGTGGTAGTTCCCATTCCATGCTGTTTGTGCCCCCTTAACTTTTCTTTTGGTGGTACTGGGACTTGAACTCAGGGCTTTGTGCTTGCTGGGAAGGTGCTCTATCACTTGTGCCACGTCCCAAACCCCTGCCCTCGAATTTCTATCAAGGAGAAGACATGAGTACTTATCTGTCTGGACTGGCTTACTTCACTTAACATAGCTCCAGTTCTCTCCACTTTTCAACAAATGCTGTTTATGCTCCATTTAGCATTGAATTTTGTTTTAACCTAGGAGAGTTTACTCACAGAATTTTAGGGGGATATTTCTTTATTTGTTTTTGTTTGTTTGTTTGTTTGCTGGTGGAAGTGGGGAATGATGTCAGGGCCTTTTACTTCGTAGGCAAGCATTCTACCATTTGGGCCACACTTCCATCCCCTTTTGCTTTGATTTTAAATTGGTTCACATCTTGTTGCCTAGGGCAAAAGCTCCATGCTTCTCATGGAGCTGAGATCACAGTGTGTGCCACAATACATACTTTGTTTAGATGGGATCTCAATAACTTTTCTTCAGGCTGTCCTTGTACCTTGGCACTTAGCATTGCCAACATTGGTCATTTAAAGAATGTGAGGCCAGGTACCAGTGTCTCACACCTGTAATTCCAGCTACTAAAGAAGCAGAGATCAGAAGGATATCGATTCAAAGCCAGGTGTGGGCAAATAGTTCATGACATCCTATCTTGAAAAAACCCATGGCAAAAAAGGACTGGTGGAGTAGCTCAAGGCAGAGGCCCTAAGTCAAATCACAGTGTTGGGAAAATCAAAGGTCCACTGTGCTCTAACATGTCACTATAAAGAGACAAGATTTTGATATTCTATTGGGGTGTTTCATTTTAATGTTTTGGATGTATGGAAATATTTTTAAACTCAGAAATAAAATCAAAAATAAAAGGTTAAAAAAACTTACAATGTAAAATAACTGTAAATGCTCAAAAGGAGAAAAAATGGAAGAAAAAGAGAGGAAAAGTAAGGGAGGGTGAAATAACTAATAAAGCAAGAAAAAAGTGAAAAGAGGGAAGGAAGAAGAGAAGGAAGGAAGAAAGAAGGGAAGGAGGAAGGAGAAAAGGAAGTGAAAAAGGGATGGAGGTTGGAAGGAAAGAAGGGAGGGAGGGAAGGACAGCCAGATGGAGGAAGGGAGGAAAGAAATAGAAAAATAAGGAAAGGAGGGAGGGAAGGAGAAAGGAAGGAGACAGGATGGAAGGAACAAAGAAATGAACTAAAGAACAAAGAAGTAAAAACACGAGGAAATGCTGAGGAATGATAAATGAAATGAAGGAGGACTTCCAGTCGCAGACACCATGAATCTGGTAGTATCTGATGTGCCTACTCTTGGAGCTAGCTAAGGTCCCAAGGTCTCCCATGATGAGATTGCTACACAAGAGCAGCAGATGCAGAAGCAAGTACTCTCAGATTGGCTTCTCATGGATCTCAGTGACCAGGACTCTGGGCTATCAGGAAACTGTCCAGTCTAGCCTGGAATGTAGAGCAAGTAGGTGGTGACAGGGCACCTGCCTTGAGTTGTGTGTACCAATCTCAACTTACCATCCCCCATTCTCCTCCAAACAACTCCAGTCACATATTGACTCTCCTCACTCCATCACAGTCTTTTGTGATAGCATAACCTGTGACTTCCATGCTGCTACTTCTGGGGGTCACTTCTCATCCTCTTCCTATTCAATCAATCAGCAGCATTGAGACAATGGGTCATTGCCATTCCTTGAAAACCACATCCCTGTGCTCCCGGGACACTCTGTCTCCTTTCTTTCTCCTCCAAATCTGGCACCCCTTCTCAGATGCAAGTACTCACAGCTTATCTGACTTCCTCTTCCCCACCTACAGTCACTCTTTTGATGACTTTCAAGTCATTTTTACAACACCAACCAAATCCATATATCTAGTACAAACTCTTTACCTCAGTGGGAAACTGGTGTCACCAAAGTCCACTTGATAATGTCACTTGGCTAGCTCATTAACATGCCCCAAATCAACATCCAGAGTTCCCCTCCCTCTGCATTCTCCCAACCCCATTTCCAAGAAAAATGTGTTCCAATCTTCTCCTCCTCAGTAAATGGCCACATCTATTTCCAATTACCAAACTCAAACTACTTAGCATCATGCTTACATGATATCCATCAATGGATTCTTCTGCTACTACCTTCAAAGTATATCAGGAATTCCACCACATCCACTGCCTCTAGTAGTGTGACTGCATTGAACCTCCACCAAGTATTGCATGGATGAATGACTCAGTTTCCTAACTACTCCCCATTTCCACTCTGGTCACCTTCAGTGTATGCTCAACACAATGTGAGTTTGTAGGTACAGTTCATCCTTTTGTCTGTGGGTTACATATTCATTGATTCAAACAATCACAAATCAAAACTGTGGTTAGACTTTCAATGCTTTTCTGTACTGATAAACCAGACTTTTTATTGTTGCTTTTCTATAAATTATACAGTATAACAGCTGTTTACATAGCAAAAAAACCCACATAGTTTGTGTCTTATTCCTCTGCTCAGATTATTCAAATAACCATTTTACTCTAAATGAAAATCAAACAGTATATAACAGCGTTACCAGAATTCTACAATGGGAAAATGACCTGGAATTTCTCATCTGAACAAATAGAACTGCTTCCCTATGGCCTGTGTGTGTGTGTGTGTGTGTGTCCTAATGTTTGTACACTGCAGTCATAGTACATGATGATGGTGTTTCTGCTTTTTATAGTTGACCTACAGAATCATTTTCCATTCACCACACTAATAATTAAGTGGTTGTGCTCAGTAGGCTGTCAACATTTACTTACTTTAATTTTGGATATTAAATTTATCCATCATTATAAATGACATCTTCAGGCATATAGCTTTTATGCATCATATGTAAGGTAAATTGCTAAAAAAAATTCCTGGGACAAAAGACTTCAACTTGCTTTTCCAAAGTCATTGTATCCATTTTTATTGCCAAAGCCACATATGTAAATATCAATGCACCACAATATCCAAGCATTGTTATCATAATTTACTTTAAAATGCTCATGCAATCATTGAAATGCTGCTTTGATCTACTCTTAGTTTCTTCACTGATTTGTAAGACTCTGAATTTGCATGATTCATGATATTTTCACTTGGCCTTGCAGAAATCCCCAAAGGTAACATGGGGGTCCAGGAATGGTCCTTTTGGGGACTTGACTTTACTAGTAATTGCACTAGTAATAATTACTAATGTCATGATTTACTGGGATCACTAGCATTCCTGCTCTATTTGCTGGTCCCTATATTGGTACTTTCCTCCCAATGCAGTTAGCACATATACTTTCATCTTGAACTATAAAACCTTCTTAGAACAGGCAGGGTCAGGCCTACATGCTGCTGTCAGCACAGGGTTACTGAAATGCCTGCACTGTCAGTGTCTACCACAGTAATATAAGTCAGAAAGAATGGTCAGTGTTGTCAGTCATTAGCTCAGGCCCTCTCATTCTTGTCATGATGGACATTCAGGATCAGGTGAGACATTGTTATGGGGCTGTCCTGTGTTGGGAGGACATTTAGCAGCATCTCTGGCCATATCCATCCTCCCCTACTTGTGACACTAAAAAATACATCCAAATATTGACATATATTGCATGGGAGACAGGGGAAGGAGGGGACCATGACCTTTTATAATGGGACCTTAACTGAAGGCTTTGTGCTTAAGGAAAGGCAAAGGTCACAGACAAGCACAAATCTCAGCCCAAGTCGAGTTCAGCTTGACTTGAATCCATCTTACAAAGCAGCACCTTGGGTCACCCATCACCTGCTGGCCTCAAATCTCATTCCCTGGGTCTTGCTTCTGTTCTGCTTTTTGTTTGCTTATTTGTTTTTCATGCTGAGGATTGAGCCCAGGACTTGCATGTGGAACCAGTGCTCCACCACTGAGTTACATCCTCAGTCCTGCTGACCTTTATTTGAGGGGAAAAAAAACTCATCTTTCACTGGATGTCTAGAGTGAACATAGCTCTGTCAAACCCATCTCCTGCTTAATTGTTACTAAAGATCAAATCGTTAGAAAGAAGTGATTCAAAATATAAACAAAATTTTACAAAGTGTTATAAACTTAACAATATCTCTCTGGAGACTCAGTTTCAAACATCTACTCAGAGACTTACTGTCAGGCTGTCTCAAGCTGCAGAGTCCCTGCTTAGCAAGTGCAAAAACTGAGTTCAAATCCCAATACCACCAAAACCAAAAGATATATACTGTCAAAAAACTGAAACTATAAGAAGAACCTACAGTAAAGCAGATTTAAGAGATCAGCTCAGCCATCCACACAAAAGTGCGTGCTGAGTGACTAAAAATGAAGCATGAAGAGGCCCAGCCCAAATGAGGAAGTAACCCACAAAAGAATAAACCTGAACTAAACCGTCACTGCTGATTTCCAAGTCACATTCCCGGAGCAGGAATTATGTCATCAATTATGTCATCATTATGTCATCAATGTTGCAATAATTTTGCCAAAAATACTGTATTATTTTATCTGTCTCTAATTCCTCCATGCATTGTGAACTTTCAGGACTGGATAGAGAGTGAAGAGGAAACAAAGAAGAATAAAGTAAGGAAAAGGTGAGGAGGAGAACAAAGGTGAAATTATGATTGTTTCTGATTGTTTTCAATTATATAAACCATGAAAAATCGGCTTTAGTGACAGCAGGTTGAAAATAAGGTGGAGACGTCATCTTTAAACACTTAACTCACAGCAGGATGCGGTGGCCCACACTTGTAATCCAGACACTTGGAATGGGAGTAGGAGGACTGCAGTCCAAACAAGCCCAAACCAAGGCAAAAATGCAACTCTCTAAGTGATAAATAACTAAAGCTACCAAAAAACGAGGTGTGGCTCGAAGCTTACCAGGCATATGGCCCCAAGTTCAAACCACAGTACGGCCAAAAACCATCATCAATTCTTCTATTCCGCAACTCCATAGGACTGGACCACAGTCTTACAATGCTATTATGGGTTCAGTGCTAGATCTCCTTACACAGGGTGGGGCCATCTCTGACTTTAAAAAGCTGCAGGTCAAGATGGTCATGTGGGGATCTTGTCACTTCCTGCAGCCCTACCAATAACTCCACTGCTGCTGCTAAAGCCAAATCCAGAGCCTGAGCCAGCTTCTTCAAAGGCTGGAGAGCAGGAATCTGCTCCTCACAGGTTCTGGAGATCAATGCAGCTTCTTCAGAGAGTTCAAAGCTCAAGTCCCCTGCATCACATGCCACAGAGTTCCAGTCAGCGCCTACACCACATTCATCAGGAGACTTTCTGGTCTTCATCTGTGACCACACACAACAGGCTGGTCAAGGAGAAGCTTCACTTCTTGCCATTCCCTCTTCATCTGTTAGCTAAGCAGTTCATGATGATGGATGCAGTGACAGCTTTGCAGGGCAGGTGGCAGGCATCCTTTTGAACTCTTGTCTCCTTGCTCATCACTTCAGGTCTGTGGGTGAGATCTGAGATGCCTGCCCTTCTATCTCTGATCAGTTTACCAAGAACTCAGATTAGGAGTTTATATGGAAATGTTAGAAAAGACTGTTGGGATTATTATCCCAAGTCCAAAGGATGGCAAACACATGTCCAACTCTATAAGAGTGGAATGGAATAAAAATGGGAAGGCTTTAGGGTCAGAGCATACATGACCAGGACTTGCATTTTGAAGTGCCCATGTTTTCTGGACACTGTCCTTAATTCAGAGACCTGTTTGTAACCATGTCAGTTTTCCATCCAGGAGGAGAACAGCAATCATAAGGGGATCTGTGTCCAGGAAACTGTTTCTCTCACACCTAGCTACAACTTGTCCTCTCTCGAAAATCTACGTGAGAAAAAGGAACATCAGGGCAGAGGTCCTCCTTGTTGAAAGACCTGCTGGGAGTGCCTAAGACAAGGAACTGTACAGAGGCTGCCAGTAGAAGCTGAGAAGCTGATTGAGTAAAAAATGCACCATGTAATCCAGTGCTTGCTGCATGACCTCAATGACTCTGCTGTCACTGGTAAGCCCCCATCTCTGTCCTCCTAATCTTCTGCTCCTTCACCTGACTTGTCTGCTTAATCTTCTTAGCTACAAATCTAATTAGATTAGCCCAAGTGATTCCTGATGTGTATAGGGTCACCAAGGTCACACCAAATCTCACACAAGACCTCTTGAAAACATATGGCTTGAAGGACATGGTCAGTTATATGAATCTCCTTGGAAAATGAAAAGTCTGAACAAAATCTTCTCTGAATAACAAAAACAAGGTTCTCTGGAGTCCACAAGTCAGCTGATGGAGGAAGGAGGACTTTGATTTTCAGGGCTAGAAGAATTAGGTCAGGGATCCTTTGAGGGGCCTGCAAAGTCAGACATGTGTGCACTTACAGGGATGAAATAGTCACTTGTCTCCTCCAGGGAACACTCACAGGACATAGCTATGGCAGCCAGACACAGTATCATTATCAGATTACCAAAACTACAGCCATTTATGGTTAGATCCCCTAGTAGGTCCTGAGGTAGGGAACACACTTTTAACTTCAGTCCTCAACAGGACTGTTATCTCATCCTTTAAGAAGTCAGCAGTCAAAGAAGGAATCATGAGTCACACAACAGAAAGCAGGATCAGCCGTGGGGTCCAGACAGAACACTGCATGGACCCACATAGCTATTGTCATTCCTCCAGCTGCATGACATTTATCCTGCTGAGCAGCAATTGGAGCAGGACCCTCCCACACATGCATAAAGTCCCTTCTCAACTGTTGAGCTCAGTGCTTCATTTAGTTTAGTAAAATGTGAATGGCTTACACTACTTGGTGCAGTTAGCCACCTTTCTCCAAAGGTCAGGATGAAGAAAAAAAGGTATCATAGTGGGAAGTGCTACCTACCTGAGAATCTGGGACTAGGAAGATAGCAAGAGTGACTTATGCTACATCCGTTTGTAGAAATCAGGATTACTTCTGGTCCATGAGACACCCTAAAGACAATAGTGCAGGCACAGGTGCTATTTCCCACCATATGCAAGTGCACTCACCTCCACATTCTTCTCACATCTTCAAACACAAAACAGAGCACCCAATCCCTTTCCAAATACTGCCTGACACCCAGTGGAGACCCTTAGGTCCAGTCAACTGTTAGATGAATTGCTCTTTTTGCCCTCCAGCCCTTTGGCTCCTGTATCTGCCCATGTACGACACTGTGAGGACAGTGCAGAAATCACTCACTCTCCACTTCCTGAGTCTCGTATGAGTCCCATCAGCCTAATAATTAGGCCCTTACTGTGTCCCCCAATTCACTATTGCACAGAACTGCCACCCATTCCTTTACTACAGGCTCCAAGTAAACTCAGGACACAAGCCAAAACTGAATTTGCTAACTGCCACTTGGTGCCCACTGCTTGTTTACCCTCTGTTCACATCCCAGACTTTGTTTCATAGCTAAACCAGAGTCTTGCTCCTGGACACACATGTGTGTGCATCTATGTGTGGCTGTGTGTGTGCCTGTTTATCAGCTTGTGAGTCTGTATTCAAACACATACCCACACACATCTGTGAGTGCATCTGTGACTGTTCTGACTGTGTTCTTCTGTGGTCGTGTAAATGTTTATGGTCATAAAAGCTTTTGTGTGTTTATGTGTACATCTCTTTGGATTAACTTGTAATTTTTCACTAGATACCACTTTGGCCCTCACATCTGGGTCTACTCATGTTTTATATTTGATCTGTTTGGGGGAAAGGGTTTGTTTCAGTAACCTAATATGAGAATAGGCATAGATGCTATTCTCATAGCCTCCTCAGTGTAGGGATTGCACATTGGCACAACTATACTCAATCTGCAATTTGTATGTAATTTCTCCCTTCTTGGAATCGTCTCATCTCTAGGGACAAGTGTCAGTGGTCTGTGAAGCTTCCAGACTAGGACAGGTAGAGGGATACAGGCATGTCTACATGAGGTCTGTCTATGAGGCAGATAATAGGATGATTACAACAAAACAACTAGTGGAACTGGGAAAGGTATAAGAGGAACAGTGATCTGTCCAGGGTCAAATGCTTCTCTGGGAAAAGGAGCAAGGACTGAACCCATGTCAGGATCCTAAAAATCAGGGTAGCGTTTCAAACCAGCCAGAGACACTGGTGTGGAGGGTATGGCAGTGACTGTGTCTAGTTGTCCACATGGATTGGACCAGAAAACCATCAGCATAATGGTAGATCTAGGGAAGGCCTTGTCTGAGGCAGAGTGTCAGTTGAAACCTTCAGAGACATCCTCACTTCCTGGATAAGGACAAAAAAGAATTTAGAACCCTGGTGGCCAGGCAACTAAATTCCTGAGCAACCACTTTCAACTCATATGTCTACCAACTCTGTATAGATAAAGATGTTCTCTTGCTCTCTCCAGTGGTGTTGGGGCTCAGGCCCCAGGAGCCCGCATAGTGGAGAAATATCCAGGTCTTTAATCCTCCTCTTTCCCCATGTCATTTCTCCTTGGTTGACATTGTTGGTTATGGAGTATGCCCTATTAGCAAGGGTTCTCTGCATATCTAAACTCCAGAATTGGGGTTGCTGTGTCATACACCAACTTCACCTCTACCTTTTAAGAACTTCCATAATGGTTGCATCACTTTATATTCTCCACATCAGTGCTCTTAGGTTCAAATATTTCTAAATTGTGACAGTTTTTATTTTCTGGGGTTTATTTTTTTGGCAAGTGATGTGGGGGATTTTCTTGAGATAGAAGACTGTAAAGTAGGACAGTTTACAGAAAAGTGTAAAGCACCCAGAGTGGGTAGGGTGCTCCCAGGAGAGGGTCACCCTTCTTTCTTTTTTTGATGGAGGAAATTTAGGTGGGAATGAGGTGATATCTCATGATGTGTTTGACTTTCACCATCCTAGTAATGCATGATTTTCAACATATTTCATGAGCTTATTGGTCATTTGAATTTTTTAAAAGAAATGTAGGTTCTGTTCTTTTGTTCATATTTAAATCTGATGAAATTTGACACTTAAGGAAATCAATGTGAGGTTACCTGCTGACAGGCTGTAATCAAACAGAAAATTCAATGGGTAGAAATCAACTTTAAAAATAGTCATTGAGAAGAGTCATTTCGGGGAAATGAAGAGGGCAGAGAGCTCATAGACTCTGGAACTTAGAGCACTCACAAACCTGAAAAAACAGTTGAGATTTGTGGTAGCAAAGGTCAGGTAACATGGCTTCTTCACCAAGTAAGACACTGGAAATTCATGTTGAAACTAGTGTACAGCCCTCAAATTAGCTCTTCACAGCACATGACACTCCAGAAGCCTGGGTGTTGCAGCTGCCTACTGGTCCACTATAGTTGTTTCTCCATTTTGTTTGTTTGGTTTTGCTTATTTATCTCTCTGAAGAGTGAAAATTCAATGAATTTGTGCAGAGAACTACAGAGTAAGTTCTGAAAGCACCTGGGTTGTCCTGTATCCACAAAAATTCTTGGACATGGATCCTCTGACTGTAGCCTGTCAGTCACCAGGGCTGTTGACTAAAGATTCTATCCATGGGAAACTACAACCCTTTCAGGTGAGAGATCCACACCACCCACTCTGGAGAAAACCACATAGACCAGCACAGCTTAAGGGATGATGGCACACCACATGGACAAAGCTGTTGACCTAATAAATTAAGGGAAAATTCTAGCTTCATCAGCTGGAAGAGGGGCAGTCCATCCATAACTTTTTCTATAATGTGCCCATCTTATCCAGTCTGCGTGAGAGAAGGGTGACTTAGCCACATCTAGGCAAAAATACTACATTCTGCTAACTTTGAGAAACTCATTGAGAGTTCAAATAGCCTTTGCAAAAAATAGCTTTTGGCCAAACAGCTCAATTTCAAACTTGCTCTCCAGGTGGGAAGGGTCCTACTGTGCACTTATGTCCTTGACAGATAACCTTGGAGAATCCACTCACTCAAATAATCTGATCCTGGCTGACCACCCCCCAAGAAGAGCCTGGTCAAAAACACTTGAGTGGATCCCACCAAACCTGTCCAGTTGAGTGGGACCCTGACAGTAGACACACATTTCAGTTTATCAACCCTAAGAAAAGAGAGAGCCCAGTTATACATCAGAGGGCAGCCCTCTGTGCAGTCCCTGAACTCAGAGGAAACTCACTCCTCTCTATAACAAGGAATAAATTTGCACAATAAGTATATATTTTAATTTTTTGTTACTTATCTCCTTTTTCCACTCTGTTGCAATTTACATTTGCTTAGCAATCACTTGTTCCACTATTGTCTCCCTTGACTTTTTTCCCCTTCTATTTTTATTTCAGTCCCTCACCTTACCTTCCTGCCTAGCCTCCCTTTTGCTCCACTGTCCCTATCTCATCCACACTAACCACTGACCAAGTAGTGTATTATACCAACAGTATACATTACTCTAATCCTTCTTATCCCTTTGCAACTGATTCACCATTGAATCCATTAATTCATTATTGTTCACTTGTATCTCTTGCTCACTGAATAGAAAGCTAACATTAATCTAAAGAACAACTAAGCTAGCCAGAGCATAAAAAAATTATGACAAGGAATAGATGATAGGAAATTAAAACCCCCAGCTAGCTAATCAACACCACATGTGCCAATCTCAAAATGGAAATACAGGGAATAAAAGAAGGCAGGGGAATATGATTCCTCAAAAGGGTAACAATCACAAAATAGAGGTTTTGGTGGACAATGAAGGGGATGAGTCCTCAGATGCTGAGGTTAGAAGAATGAAGATAAGAATGTTTAACAAGCTTAAGATGGAGCATAAACAGGACATACAAAAACAACCCAGTGAATCCCAGCAGGACACATTAAAAATATTGACAAGACACAGAAACACTTAAATGATCAAAGAATATTTCAACAAACAGGATGCAGTCTCTAAAAATGAGACATCTGCAATTAGTCAGAACATGTTCTCTGTTTGGCACACTAGGGGCTGAGTACAGCACAGAGCCTCTGCCCTGCAAATAACCCAGAGGCCAGGGATAGCCCACACTCTAAGCCATTCACACCTCAGAAACCTTTTTCCTGCAAATACCAGGGCACTTAGAGCAGGTCACAGCCTCTGTTCTGACACATGGGTGTGTTCACCTTTTGGGCACTTCCCTATAAACAGCTGGAGACCTTCAGCAACCTCTCACTTGCAGACAACTGGGGCTGTTGAACAAGACATGGCCTCTATATTGCAGACACCAGAAAGCCTCCAGTACAATCTGTCCTAAAGACACCAAGAGGCCTGGAAATGACCAGGGCCTGGGAGTGGCTTCAGCCTGTTCCCTGAAGACAAAAGTGGCTGGAGCCGAAGACAATCCACAGCACTTATCCAGGCCAGAGTCAATCAACTGCCCCCCATTTGTAGACACTGAGAGCCCTACCATTGCCTCAGTCTTGCAGAAATGCAGAGTTGTGAACAGGCTCCACCATTGTGCTTCTGACACCCAGTGCTA